TACAGGGATCAGCTCACTGGTCCATGGCTGATGCAGACAATGTGTTTGTGATATCAGATCCATGGCCTGTACCATTTTTCTTTTTTTGTTGCCTCAGTCCTTTTTCAAATATTCATATCATTCTGTCTGCTCAGGTCTGTATGCTATTAAATGCGTGTGTGTGTCTTTCAGAGTGTGTGTCTGGGAGATTGGGGGGGCTGGGCCATGATTTAGGCTTACCGCAGAGGGATTGTCTCGACACAGCTTTCTTCTGTCTGACTGAACTGTCTGGGATGTTCCGATATGGAGGAAAAAAAGCCGACAAAGACGGCGCGTGCATGCATGAGTGCGCACTCGTATTCACCTAGTGACACCGCTGCCATTCGTCCCACCTTTTTGCCCCTGCTTCAGCCTGTCTCGCACAGTCCCAAACACATGCGGACAGCCGAGCAGACACCTCAGCAACACCTTGTGACTTTGACTTCTTGCTCAGGACTTTGAATACACTTGAAAGTGACTGGCTAAACTTTGTCTAGGCGATTTCGACTCGTCTCTATTCATGTTTGGCGGTCTTGGAATTTAAATGCTGATAGTTTTACTTAAAAAAACAAAAACAAAGAAAACAGTTCTTGCAAGCATGGGCTGTTTTTTCTTTGGTACATTGAGACCTGTTTTAACTGACCAAATTCACATAGTAAATCTTGATGTGGTTAAAAATTTACTACAGTAATGAAACAGCAGCAGCTCATATTTTCCAAATCTAACATGTTCGGTATTTATGACTAAAACAATGCTCACTCTGTCTGTGCTTTTTAAATGTCATCCCACTTCATGTCAACTGGGATACTGAGGTTGATGGACAACTACAGCCATGAACCCATGCTGTTTTTGTGCCAGCGCTCAAACCATGACATCATATCCTCTGCACGGGGTCTACCAGGCCTCAACTTCCTGCTTGGCTTCGTCAGCCTTGTGTAAATATATGTAGTAATGGCACAGGTAGTTATAGCTCCGTAGTCTGGCACGAAACACACACACTCACACTGACTGTATGACATATACTAATGTAATAAAGTGCCAAATCAACCTCTTCAAATTTCAAACCTGTGCTTATGCTTGGCTGAAAAACATCTTTGTAACAGCCAGTTATCCCCCCCCCCCGTGATATTTTGTATTTGACCTCCGACTGAGGCTTTTCATTTTCTTTTCTTTCTTTTTTTGGGACAAAAGCTTCTAATTAGAGCAGGCAAAAGCCAAACGGCTTGTAGCGTGGCGATCTCAACTGGTCATGTGGAGTGAATTAAACAACCTCTTTTTATAAAAACGTGTTGCTGCACCTTCGTCTCAGACCAGAACAGCTTTCAGCTTTTGCCATTTGTCTTTGCTTTTCTCTTTATTTTTGGATGGATGAGTTTGAGCAATACATGAAATGATTTGGCGCCGGAATCTCATTAAATTGATTCACATCCTTTGTTGTGATTTTCAGATTTGTCACATTTTACGTTTTCAGTGTTGTTTCTGCTTTGTAGGAAATAATGAAATTGAAGTTTGATTTTTACGACTTTAGAAAAATGTATTCATTGGTATTGAAGTTTAAAATATCTCGTCGTTTCCAATATGTATTTAACTACTTATGATTACAGTAATTCTTTCATAACTATATCTTTAATATTGCTGTAGATATAAATAATTATATTGTAACGTTTGTCGTGCAGTTATTTATCGGTGAAATAAGTATTCAGACAGTGATTAACAGACAGAGAAAAATGGGAAATTCTTGTATTATAAGGGCAGAAATGACAAAAGAAAACAGTCTATAGAAAATAAAGTAAAATAAAGCACCTAAACTGGCTCAATAAAATAGAAAAAGAAATCTCAGTAAGTGAAATAACTGAGATTCATAGCAGAAGGGCGATACAATACAGTGATATTACAATATTGTATTGTAATATAATATATTGTATTTGTTTAAGCAAAAGTCCATAAAGGTTTGCAAAAATATTTCTTAAATAGGCAAAAATAAAACTGTTCATTATACATGATTGGAGCGTGTTATAGCATTCAGTTATGGGAGCAGTATTATTTAAGTATCATGCCAACAATACACTGTAGTGCTCTAATGGTTTCATATATTTTTTAATTGGGCTCCCTAATCTATGCCAATACAATGTTTTTGATACATTTGTAAAAACTCACTCTGAACCTTTAAATGAAAACAGTTGAGTCTAAAGTAAATTAGATGGAAGTGAAATTTATTCAATGTGAGCTATAAGTTCTTCGAAATTGTAGTTTATTACAGTGTTTCATATGACTCTCCTTAGATGCTTTGCACCACTGAATTCTGTCCATGTAAACATGGGTTCATATATTATTCCTATAATTGCTGTGCACATAAATTCCTGCACCATGCATGTGTTTGCGGGGCGGGAGCGACACGCTGGCCTCAGAGCAGCTGGATTTTGTAGGTTTTCCCTGTTTTTTATGAACGGCATGAATAATTATCCAGGTGTTGCTGCCAACTCAGAGGAGACGAGTCAGACTCTGCCTAGTTACAGACCTCAGCCAACGAGGAGAAAAACCTGCCGAAACACTCACCAAATCCCTGCTCTGTATTCTCTTGCTCTGCGCCTCTCTCTCTGTCTCTCACTAGTTTTCTCTCTGTGTGTTTTTCTCTGTTTCGGTCTCTTTGAAAGTGAGTTTGAAACTTGTTTTCTTTCTCATCTCGCTCTATAACTCGCATGCTTTCTCCTTGCCCTTTTTCTCCATTTATTTATTTGTTCTCCCCTTTTTTTTTGATTCATACAAATACTTGGGTGTAAAACAAGCTATAATATGAGAGGAAGTTATTAAATACGCTGGGAGTATTAAAGCCTTTCACGTCTAAATCAGATTATATCTATCAGCAGTGCAGAAGCAAACACTCACACTGTAGCCTTGTTTTTTTTTTTTTGTGAGACTTTTTATTTAATGGATGTTTTTCTTTTGGCAGATGTCTGCTAAAGTGTGGAATTTATTCTCACGCTTGGATAAACAAAGTCTCAACCGTGACTCTGTCTCTTCCTTCTCAGGAAGATTTCTGCTAAGTTTTTAGTATTTCTGCAACCTAGCTACACACTCAGCCAATCAAAACTCACACTGGTTGGCCTGCTTTCTCATTGGTTGTCCACATCAATGAAACTGTTTCTATTGGTCGTAGTAAAAAAAATTACATTTAGCAGACATAAGCAGTTTTGAAGATTTGGAGAACAAATACTGCTTTTGATGCTGGGGCTTTTAAAATTTACTTCAAGCTTATTAGTCATACATACTGAATGCAAATAGCTGTCTGTGTGTGAGTAAAAGCGTCTGCTGTGGATGGTAATGATTTTGCGTGAGTGTGGTGTGAGTGTGTGTCTGTTGTGGTGAATATTTGGGGTGTTGGTCACTTAGCCCTACATCAAGGTTCGAAGTATGCTGAGCAGATTTGTGTTCCCACATGAGTAAACCAAGTAGAGACACACAGACAAGCCAGATGGACATACGCACGCGAACACACACTGGCACGCACGCCCCGATCAGCGCCATCCTGAATGAATAATTTAGCACTTCGATCCAACGCCGGCCACAGGGGCACATGACAGTTTTTGTGTAAATGTGGGTTTGTGTGTTTCTGTGTGCTGTCTTTGTGAACATCTATGATAAACCACATAGTTTGGGGTTTTCCCCCTTTCATTACTTACTGTTGTTTTTCATGTCAGTTCAGCTGTCCCTGATGGTTACTGCCACATTCTTGACCTACCTTTGCACACACAAGCCGTCTAATGTTTATTTCATTTGTATATCTAAGCATATTTTCACGGGTGAGGATATGATGGGGAAAAAAAAAACGTTTCATGTTTATTTCATGCCTAAGCAGATCTTTTTATCACAAGAGGTGTGGATCCAATTTTCTCTGAGAAGTGACAGAAAAGCCAGAGGCTACAGAAGAACAGAGAAACGGAGCGGTTCGACAGAAGTAAAGGTTTTGAAAGCCTCCTTTATTACTTTCAGCGCTGCGCAGCATCCTTAGCGTGTTTGTTTGCACTCAGTGTGCACGTCTGATTCTCGGTATGTGGGGAAAGGGGAGAGCGTTTACATGTGTGCTTACTTCACGCAGCGAGCCGTGGTTATCCATTCCCCCCATGTGACTTCATGCTGGTAGGTATATGTCATGCCTATGGAGCCGACAATAGGGCTCACTGATCTTAACGGCAAGTGTAAGCTTGTTTTCTCTTTAGCCTCGGCCGTGACATTTACCTCTACGCCTCCCTGGCGGCTGGTTGGAACATCATACCTCTATTATCTTGCATCCCCGATGTGTGCATGAGTTTGAGTGTGTACATGTGCACCTGTGCCTTAAACACATTTGGGTATGTATGAGAGAAAGTACACCTGGAAAAGCCTTTGGTAATTTCAACGTGCAGGCACGCTTGTTGAATAGTGTTTCAATTTGGGTTTGTAAGAGGGTGTGAGGAAGTAAAGATTTTGCTTGGAGGATTAATCTAAACCCCCTCTTATAAGGTATTCAGATCGGAAAGTGGGATTATTGAAAGTCGGAGAGATAAAAGGAAGAAGGAAAGTGAATGCTCATATTGGCTCAAAACCCCCTCACACCAGGCATACGGCACAGAATTGTAAACAGTAACCACAAGCAATTTCATAGCATTTATCTGCCTGGTTAGATTTTGTTTTGTGTTCCTGCTGGGTGTTTTTTCCCAGTTTTTCCTTTTCTTTTTTTTTTTGGATTACGTGGCAAAATACAAGTTTACTCAGTATATATAGAGATACAACTTCTTCATTTCTTTGGAATATAACAAAACCGTGTATGTAATTTAGCACAGCTTGCGTATCGCACATGCTTTTCTTTAGGAATTTCTTTCTGACTTTTTGTAAGTTGGATTGAAATATTTTGCTCTTTGTCTGCTCTGAACAGCTCCCCGTCTGCTTTGTTCAGCATCATTTTTCCAAATCCTGAAAACGGTTTTGTGTGTTGCCTCTTGCAGCTGCGTAACTTGAGCGTCCTGGATCTGCGACACATCTCGGAGCTCAACAACGAGACGGTGATGGAAGTGGTGAGGAAATGTCGCAACCTCAGCTCTCTCAACCTTTGCCTGAACTGGAGCATCAACGACAGGTATGTCTTTAAAGTGCTTTCTGGACCACAGCGTCGCAGCCGCTGAGTCAGCATGGACCATCTCGGTGCATGCTGACGGCCAAGTTTGCAACACAAACTTTGGGTGGGGAAAAAATAGGAGCAGAAATTTTGTTGCAGTTAATGAGTTCAAAAATGGATTTATTATCCAAAAGTGGTGTCAAACGTCCAATTTGTGCCAATACTCACATAAAAAGTCCAACAAAAAAGGTTCAGTTGCTCTGCCCCCTCCCACTAAATTATTTGACTAATGGCTTATTAGGGCCTTAAAAGAAATAATTTAAAAAATGCGGTCTTTTTATGGGGATTTGGCTTTTTGTCATAAAAGGAAAGTAAATGTCATGTCTGGAATCATAAGAAAAATTGCGATTACGCATTTGATAAGCAGTAAATTTGGAGGGTTTTATTGACTTATTAGTTTTATGAGATCACTTTTTCCTTTTTCTTGTGCATTCATTCAGTTATGTGTGCATACTTGTACAACTATGCACACATAGGAAATGAATGACTTGCGAATTAAAAACAAGTTAAAAGAGCAACAAAAACTTTCCCTTTTTTATTTCTTGCTATTTCCTGCTCTCATCCTTTTCTTTCCCCATTTCTTTTTTTTTTTTTTTTTTTCTCTCCACTCAAATGTGAGACAGGGCTTGTACTGTATGTGACAACAAGAGTAAACCATCTCCTTTTTTATTTATTAGCTTGTGTTTTATTCATACGTTTCTATTTTAATCTATTGATCTACAAGGGTTCTCTGCAGACTGTACTCCCACTCTGTCTTAGGAGTGTGAGCACAATATTGAATGCACCACGATGCGTAGCAACAATGGAGGCTGGCGAGCATGCGTGCGCATGTGTGTGTATGTGCACGTGTGAAATCGCTCTTGAATTATTGAGTTTACAGCAGACGTGTGGTAGGAAAGTTATGGTAATACTTAGCTACCTTCATCGATTGAAAATCGTGGAATTTGGTGGGATCCTTATAGGAGCGCATTGTGCTACCAACTTTTTTTCCTTTTCAAACGCACATTTGTGCACACAGAGGTTCAGCCTCAAGCGATTCAAAACTGCAATGATTGCATATTGATATTTACTGCATTGGTCCAGAGGCTGAAGGACTGAAGATATGTGTGTGTGTGTGTGTGTGTGTGTGTGTGTGTGTGTGTGTGTGTGTGTGTGTGTGTGTGTGTGCTTGACTGGATTTGTCTGAATCACCTGTGGGAATATTGGAATTTAAAATGGTGTGTGTGTGCGTGTGTTTGGCAGTCTGTGTGGGAGATAAAACTAGGTTGTTCTGTATGTGTGTGTGGCAGCATACAGTAGGTGTGCTGTTGACTTATGAATGAAGCAGAGATGGTGGGCTGAGGTGGGCCATTAGTGGCGTAGGAATCCTACATGCTTGCTGCCTTGACGCTGCTCTGCTTCCTCACCTCTTATTCCCTTTGCTGTTTTATGCATGAGTCTTTACGAATCTCGTGATGTAGTTGAGTGTTAGAAGAAGAGTAAGTAAGTGAGTAAAATGTTGTGAGCCATTTTCAGGCAGAATTAAGAATCTTGCTGCTTTGCTTTGATTAAGTTTTTTTTTTAAAAATGCCTAAATTTCTGCTCAGCAACAGATTTTCCTTTTTTATATATTACCAAAGCCTTAATATTCAAATGTGACAGAAATTTTATTTCCTGTGTTGTGACTAAAATTAGCGCTGTGACTCAATAAGAACTTTAATCAGTAACTAGAGTATGAATTAGATAGCAGGTAGATAGATGGACAAGACAAGTCTGGCAGGAAATCAGAGACTAGACTGTGGCTTTATGATATCTTACAGCTGCAGACAGACTGCCAGTCCCAAGGTCATCAGGCCATCTGGGTTACTGCTGTTGGAGAAGCCAATACATACTTCCACACACAGGTTTCTGACTTGTTGTCACAGTGAAGACCAAACTGTCTTAACCCTCTCTGACGTAAGTGCTCCGAGGGTACAGCTAGGTCAGCTTGTGCCTGTGTGTGTGGTTGAAACTGATGACAGTGTGCTGTGCACAGGTAAACAGGCAGAGGAAATGACCCCTTATTTCCAGGCTCAATTTGCCCCCAACAAGAGGCCATTGGGGAGATGGAGCTCAGTAGGAGGCAAAACACTCCAGTCTTTTTCCCCCCCCCCCTTTTCTTGTTTTTCGTCTTAAGAAATATAAAAAAAATATGAAAAAAACACCGTGTCATCTTGCTTCCACCATTGTCCTCAGTAATAGCGGAAAACTGCCTCCCCGTGTACGAAGGCGAGATATGATGACCAAATATAGACTTCCCATCGTCACAGTCCGATGGGCAGATTGCGACAGTGGGACGCCTATTTTTTGGTCACTGTCATTTCTTGGGGAGAGAGGATGTGATGTTCTGCAGGTGGGCAGTGTTGGCCCTATTATTTCTCTGTATCCTCTTCCAGCGATGATAGGAGAACAAAGTGGGATTGTGTTTTTCAAATGTCACAGCGTTTGAAAATGGGGAGCGAGTCATGATCAAAGCCGAATGGCAGAGCAAATGGCAGCGCTCACTTTTTAGATCCAAGTTGAGAACAGTGTCAAAGTTAAACGGTTTTTCTTTATTCTCTGGTGCTTGGTGCGTGGTGAATTTGTGATTTTTTTTTTTTTTTTGTTACCACTGTGTGTTGTTGTTTGTGTCTGTGTGCGGAGATTCTTTTTTATCTGAAGTCTTTCTTTCCTGCTGTCATGATTTTTATAGTGTAGTGTTTTTGTGTTTGTAAATATGGCTTTTATCAGACTGCAGTTTTTCTGCTAAGGCATGATGACATGAAAGATGAGATTAAAAAAGATCTACATGATGTCACGCTTTAGGACTTTCTGTGTGTGTGCGAGTGGGAGTGTGTTGTAGTGACGTTTGTGGTACAGAGTTTTCAGTGGTTCTGGTAACAAAAAAAAGTAGAGTCATCCAGTGTTCAGCTAACATTAACTGGACACAAGGCCTGTGTTGACATTCAGATTTATGTGCAACCCCGGCTGTGTCCGTCTGCTTTTGTGTGTGCATGTGAGCAAGCTCTGGTCAGCTGGCCTGTAGTCTTTGCTGAAAGCAGATGCGTGGAGTAAGTGAGTCATTTATTTTATGAGATCTGTATTGTTGGAAGTTGGGCATTTCCCAAAAGCCTGGGCGTTCTTTCCCTCCGTTTCTTTCCCTTTATTCATCTCAGTCTTTCTGCCAGCTTCATTTAAACAGGGGAATCAATATTCATCCATTCCTTCTTCGCTTTGTTACTCGAGGCCAACATTCTCAGCATATCTCCGTCACTTCTGAGCATCACAAATCACGGCCCAAATTGGCTGTTCTACATTATTTTTTACCCTCTTTCGCAGAAATCAAACTAGATAAGAGACGACTGGGGGCCCTCTCTGACTTTCAGGAGCCTGTAAAGCAGGAAGTAATTGGAGACCCATTCTCCCAGAAATACGCCTCTTTTAAAACTTTTTAGGGTTTGAGGGTGTTTGCACTGAAGCCCCATTTCAAATAGCCTTCGTCGCAGCCACCTGGCAGTGATCACAAATGAGTTAAACCCTCCCCAATCCAGATGATGACATGATACATCAGTGTGATCAATGATGTGTTAAATGGAAATTGGCTGCTCTGCTTTGCTTGGTCACAGTGAAGGAAATGAGGGCCTGTGCTAGTTGAATTTCTCCAAGTTAAGGATGCTGTAAAAGGCCAGTGTGGGAATACATGGAAAAAACATCTACCTGAAGATGTAGCATATAACAAGAACAGGGATTTAACCTAGTAGGCTGGACAATGAAGCCTGCATGGAAGTGCGAAATTCTCCAGTGGCTGCTTGAGGCTTACTCCAAAAGTATGGCTTCCAAATCCCTAAAGATGTTATATGTTAAGATGCTCGACATCAACCAGAAAACCAATATTTCTTCAGTCTGGTACATAAAAGGATTGTAAAAAAGGATGTATTTATCTATTCTTGATTTGATTTTGATATTATCAATGATAATAATAATAATAATAAAAATACGCGTTCAAAAATCAGTGGGAAATGTGATGGTGTTGATGGTGATCTCCGTGTTTTAAATACAGTCTATGATCAGTGCTCTATAATGTTTACATTCAGCTTAAGTTACTTATTAACAAAAGGAGGCAAGCCTGCACTAATAGAGGCGGTAGTTGAGAATAAAAATAATGATAAAATACCACAATTGTAAATAAAGTCATAGTGGAGCGTTGTGTTTGGCCACTATCTGTTTGTTTCTATTGAGCGCTGTTCAACCCTATTTTTAGAAAGTGGGAATGATGGTTAAATACTTGTCTTGATTTATGATACTTCTTTCGGCATACATATACATACACATAGCTGTTGCAAGTAGAAGAAAAGGTCTTTTTTTTAATTAAAAATGTTTTGTAAGTCATGATTTTCTTTTTTGCTCAATAACAGTGATTTCAATTTTATTTATTTGCTAACTTGTATGTTAGGTATATTGACTACACAGCAACCCTAATTTGGATGAGTGGCAGAAAATGGAAGGATAGATTCATGTATGGAGAACAGGCTGTTGAGAAGTTTTGGAAGAAATCCCCTGATTTCATCTTACTCCAACTTATCTTACCTGTTACTGAAATCGGCCATAAAGAAATCAGGAAGCTGTGGAAAAGCTCTAAAAATCCTAAAACAAGAGGCGATTTGAAGTGTCTGGATCAACTGGATCGTGCATAGGTTTCCTCTACCTTTGGAAGCTTCTTAAATGCCAAGGAAAATGTCAGCAGAGCCCAAACCAACGACTGACAGACATTTGTCCTTGTCTTGTTTTTCCACCACCTGTCTCTCCAGATTTGAGGAGAGGTGCTGAAGGGCCTTCAGTGTCCTTGCCGCTTCTCTCATTCTGCGTCTGTATTTTTACGCATGTAAAACAAGAAACCTTCTTTCCTTTGTTGTTATCATTTTTTTCGTCAGTCTAGAACTCAGGGGCAGACTCTCCGCTGTATT